GTTGGCAAAAGAATCTCTTTGCAGCTCGTTAGTGCTGTTAACACAGACTCCTCACCTACAGCATGTGAGTTCTTTTTCTTCTTCTTATTCAGTTTGTTTTCTCGTGATTTCTCAAACTTCCTGGGTTTGATGGTTCTGTGTGTGGATGTAGCAAATGGGGGAGATGGAAAAGTTGGGCACATGCAGTGTATTTGGAAGAGTGGATTACAACAATAACTCCTTTAACGGCAGGGGAATCTGCATTCATTGTCACATTTGATTGAGATGAAGAGATTGGAGTTCCAGGAGCTTTCATAATGAAGAACAATCATCACAGTGAATTTTGCTTGAAGTCGAGTTCACATTGTTTGCAACTCCTGGGTTTATCCTGCCAAACATTACAAGAAAGATCGCGTAGTCTTCTCCAACAAGGCAAGTATAGTCTTGATACCATAAATTTTTTACAAGTGAATTTTGAGTCTGGTAATAAGTTTATGATCATATTTGTGCAGACGTATCTTCCAAGTGAAACACCGGCACCATTGCATTATTATAGAGAACAAGAACTCCTGAACGTGAGAGGGGATGGAACTGGAGAGCTCCAGGAATGGGATAGAGTCTATGACTGCGCGTATTACGATGATTTGGGTGACCCGGACAATGACAAAGCGCGACCAGTTCTTGGAGGGTCTACTGAGTATCCTTATCCTCGAAGGGGAAGAACAGGCAGACCACCCGCAAAAACAGGTGGGACATTTATTTGATTTCATATTGTACTATTCCTTTGGACAGTTTTGAGAAATTTCAAGTTTTATCAGTACTTGTTATGTTACTATTGTAACAGATCCTAGTAGTGAGAGCAGGCTGCCACTTCTGATGAGCTTAAATATCTATGTTCCAAGAGATGAGCGATTTGATCACTTGAAGACGTCAGATATTCTTGGTTATGCAGTGAAATCCATATCTCAATTCACTGACCCTGCATTAGAATCTGTATTTGACAGCACCCCAAAAGAATTTGACTCCCTTGCTGAAGTATACAAACTCTACGATGAAGGGATTCAGCTTCCTAAGGGCCATTTCTTGATGATAATAGAAAAAACATCCCCTTAGAAATGCTCAAGGAGATTTTTCCAACCAACGAAGATAATCTCTTTGAATTCCCAACACCACAGGTGATCCAAGGTAATGTATATCTATACCTTTAACAGATTGAAGTTTGAGCTTTGATGTGTTTTTCCCTTTCATGTTTTTGATGTTTCAATAATTTGGAGCAGAGGACAGGTCAGCCTGGAGAACTGATGAAGAGTTTGCCAGAGAAATGCTGGCTGGAATGAACGCTGTCATCATTCGTTGTCTTGAAGTAAAGTTTCTATAACAAGCTTTACTTTCCTATCTTTCTTTTTCTCCAAGAAAGTAGATGGGTATTGGATAAAGAAGAAAACTTGAAATCTTAAGTATGAATGTCACGGGGAAAATGATTTTTGATCTTTACAAATATAATTCACTAAACTTACTGCAGGAATTCCCTCCAAGAAGTAAACTCAACCCTGAACTTTATGGTAATCAGGGCAGTACAATAACCAAACAACAAAGAGAGCATAAATTAAGCGGGCTGACGTTAGAGAAGGTAACCAAAAGCATGCTTTTGGAATAAATATTGGTCACAGGTTGAAGACTCATGCAGTAATTGAGCCATTTGTGATTGCAACAAATAGGCAATTGAGTGTGCTTCACCCAATTTATAAGCTTCTGCAAACTCACTACCGTGATACAATGAATATAAATGCATTTGCTCGGCAGATCCTCATTAATGCTGGTGGAGTTCTGGAATCTACAGTTTTCCCTGCAAAGTATGCCATGGAGTTGTCTTCTGCAATCTACAAAAACTGGACTTTTCCAGAGGAGGCACTTCCTGAAGATCTCAAGAATAGGTGAATCTTAATCTTGCATTTGCTGTCAATTTGAAGCTTAAATTTTTTAGTTAATTTTGAAATGCTACTGCTTTGTTGTACTCAGGGTAATGGCAGTTGAGGATCCCAACTCTCCACATGGTCTCCGGCTATTGATAGAAGACTACCCATATGCAGTTGATGGGCTTGATATCTGGTTTGCAATAAAAAACTGGGTTAAAGATTATATCTTCTTCTACTAGAAAAGTGATGAAATGATGCAAAAGGATTCTGAACTGCAATCCTGGTGGAAGGAACTACGAGAGGAGGGTCACGGCGACAAGAAAAACGAGCCCCGGTGGCCTAAAATGCAGAATCGCCAAGAGCTGATAGAAACATGCACTATAATCATATGGATAGCTTCTGCTCTCCGTGCTGCGGTCAAATTTGGACAATACCTTTACGCAGGTTTCCTCCCTAACCGCCCGACTATAAGCAGAAGATTCATGCCTGAAAAAGGAACTTCAGACTGTGATGAGCTAGAGTCAAATCCTGACAAAGTGTTCCTGAAAACAATCACTGCTCAGCTGCAGACCCTTCTGGGAATTGCCCTTATAGAAATTTTGTCAAGGCATTCAACAGATGAGGTGTACCTTGGAAAAAGAGACACACCATGACAAGATGCTGAAGAACTGCTTTGGACCTGTCATGATGCCGTACACTTTGCTCTTTCCTACTAGTGAAGGTGGTCTTACTGGCAAAGGAATTCCCAACAGTGTTTCAATCTAGAGCTAAACTTTCCAGCTACATATTCGCATTGTTATTATAGTATATTGGTTATAAATTTTCTTGTTTGATCTTGTTATCTAGCTCATTATAACAAACATTGGAACTAGCATGTTACATAATATAGTCTGTCTTGTAAGTTCTATTGAATAAGGAATGTGTAGATAGAAGGTTTGAACATGTTCACAAATCTATCAAAATTTAGGGTGCGCTCAAAGGCAGAGGTTTAAGAATGAAGCACTTCTGATTTGAATGCTTTTGCTTCTGCATTTATGATTAACTTAAATTTTCATGAACATTCTTTTGAAAGAAATTAAATGTCATAATGTTGTATACAATTATATTCACAAATTTGTCTTTCACATTAAATGTTAATGCAGCTATACAACTTGCTTTATATTCGGACCCCCCTCCTTGCCCTAAAACTATAGTAGATTGTGGTAAACTTTTCAACGCCGTAAGAAGCAAGAGTCCTGGTGCTTTTGAGGTATATTGCCTAAAAAACAATTCTTTGTTCACCAATGGGTATATCTGTCTTCAGAAAATAGTTTTTCTTTTAAAGCAAGAACAGTATCTGATGAATTCACTTGGACAATTATGGCGCAGCATCTTTATAAGGGCCTTTGATCAATACACTTGATGTCATAACTAGCCGAAAATTACTGAGTTCTGAAGCTTCTCTGTTCCAAAGAAACACTTCAAAATCTTGTGTACCACCGTTTGTCATGCTCTCAACTATTTTCTTAACATCCAAAACTGTTGGAATGTGGACCCTTTTTTTTTTTTTTTTTTTTTTTTTAATAGTTGACGAAGATTTTTAGGAAAATTTCAGTTTAGGAATTTATAATAGAGAATAATTGATTTTCCTTTTATTATGAGTTGTATTAAGAAAGAAGAATTGACTTAAGACTTTATTTTTAAGTCAAAATAGGAGATTGCATTAAATTAGAAGAGTCTTATTAGGATTTGAAATATGAAGCATAGTAGAAAAAAAATGTCCTATTCTGCTTATAAATACTAAATAGAGAGGTTAGAATCAATTCAATGGTATTAGGGAAGTCACAAGAGACTAGAATAAAAACCAATATATGGTTACTTTTTACGTGCATAGATATCATATTTTTGTAATACGAAATTGACCTAACTCTACTACCATCGGGTGAGGCCAACAGTTAACTAAGACTCTTTGATATATTATAGGGTGGTCACGTTGGGATTTACCCGGCTGTCAATTTTAGAACCAAAAAATTAGCTGACTGGCCGAACACTTTTAGAGTGTGATGAAACTAGTTCAAGAAACGCTGAAATAGACTCCATAGCTCTGCAAACCAAGGTGATATGGTAATTAAAAACACATAGGTCATCCAGAAACAATAGGGTTGCAAAATGGTTGAGGTTAGGATTAACAGAATAACAGAGACAAAAGGATTGAGAAATCTCTATTGTGTGTGACAACGAGAGAGCTCGTGCTGAGACTGAGAGGCAGTAAGATGGGTGTAAAGAGAGAGTAACAGTATCAGAAGTACAAGAACTGTTGACAATATAAACAGTACTGGATATTGGAGAATCTGCATAACAACATCTTGGGCCCATTTCCCATCATCTTCTCCATGCGGTTTGAACAATAGAAAGAAAATTCAATAGATTTTTGCTTGATCTTCAGTAAGTCTGCTCCTTTGGGCTTCATTAAAGATATAAGTAGGAAGGACAGGGAACAAAATGGGAAGAATCAGGTAACAAAGTTGGTGAGAAGCGGGTTGTACAGACTTGATAAGAACAATATTAAAAGTCTCTTCTTCACTACGAGAGAAGTTGATGTTTAGAATGAGGTGGGGTTAATTTGGAATCCTCTTGCGGCCACACTATGTGCCCAATATAAATGAACCGGTCTTACAATAACATCACATTAGTTTGTATGCATAACACCTTTTCGGACTAATGCATGCAATATGATGATAAGATGAGATCCTCCTTTTGGCATTACAATCAAACGCATAATCTCTTTTAAAGCTTAAAACGGAACCGTGCTTCCGCATTATAGTCCAGGGTAGAATCTCTTCTAGTTTTAGACACAATGCTTATGCCGTGCATCCAAACGATACAACTTCAATAACAATATCTGTCAGCACTGTACAACAATTTTGCATTGTGATTTACTGATTTACCGTTAATAAGCAAATTATACACCCAAAAGATCCTCATAATATATCGAATGCATGACCATATCATTATAATTCCATTCCATAACACATCATAATATAAAGAAAGTACTCCATATAACTCGATCATATCAATCCCAATCCCAATCCCATCCCATCCCAAAATTTAGTCTTATTGACTATCAAATCAAAGGTTATTATCATTTATGACTAACCCTTACATCAAGGTTACTATAGAGTAACCAAAATACAAGAGTTTGCATTCAGAACCAGAAAATTGCCATCAATATAAATCATTCAAGTAGCTGAAACTTGAAATGAAGATGAAATGCGTTGCTTCAAGGAAATTGATATACCATCAAAAGAAAAATTATCTTATCTATAGACTGCCTATACAGCTGCAAATACAACCTGCGCTCACAATGAACAAAACAGAATTTTAAGCACAAAGTAAACATATGTATACACTGAAAATTCCATCCACTTCGTTCACACCAGAACTTATATCTTCTCAATGAGTAATTAGGGCTGTAGAACCAAGATGCAGAGCTAACATTGGCTGATTTGTTCAACAACTTCACAACACAAATACACAAACAATTTCCAGGAAAAGACAGAGGAGTGGAGCTCAAGACCTGAAGAAAACAATCTGAAAAGTCGTCTAAAAACTGAACACAGAGGAACAATTTGAGAAATTAAAAGAAGAAGATTTGTGAAGAAGTTCTAGCTTTATTTGCTGGTCTTTTGATTTTCCATTTCTGCACTTTTTTCTACAGCCCTTTTTTCTATTTCTTTGTTTTCGTCTACTTACAGAGGAAAACACACAGCCTTACATATTTTCTTAAGGCCCAAAGCTAAGCCAATAAGTGGTTTCTCCCACATCACATGTTTTAACTCAAGTCAATCAAACTAACTAAACAATTAACTTGACTAAACTGCAGTAAAAATAAAATAAAAACTAAACTGCACATTAACATTAACAGTTACCTTGGGGGATGGACAATCACCTTGATTTGGGGTGAGAAGCAGATTGTTTTTAGGGGAAGACAATGGCATTGGGTTGGAGGGGAATGACTTCGTCATACAATGCATGTTTCTCAGCCAGTAGTGTTGCTTCTTTTTCTTCAGGACTGAGCTCCAATAGGGTCCTGCATAAAACAACAAATAAACTCAATTAGAAATTCATACAAACAAAACTTAAATTTGAAGACATTGTTTAATTGAGTTTTACCATACAGCATTAAGATTTTTATTTTTGGTTTGTATATACCAATAAGTGAAACATTTTAAAAGGATTAGGAAAGATCCTAGCTCTTCCTTTCTTTTTCTACATGCAACTTCACCACATTAATCATAAATTAATAACCACTAAGAACCACATAAGTATGAGTCTATTCCTAGAACTGATTCATAATTAAAAAAAAAAATTAAAAAAAGAAAGAAACCTAATAAGAGTTATAGAGGAGCAATGCAAGATTTAGCATAGACATTCATCCCATGTCTACGCCCACCCACATATTATAATTTGATATGCACAATAAGTTTCGCTCACCAAACAAATTATTTATTGAAAAAAACATTTTCAGTAAAAGGCCCTTTTTTTGAAACAAAATTTTCAAGTCAACATTCAGGCGAAGGGTATAAGATCCAGGAAGATACGAGAGTTACTTGTTGCAGATATTCTCTTCTCTGTCTATCTGCTAGGCACTCAGAGTAGAAGCTAGTAAAAAGCTCTGTCTGTTGAACAACATCCACAAGTTGATTACTTGAATCCCCCTATTGATGGAGAGAACATTCAAACCTGAAACCACTCACCAGAATGCTTAAATATCCATTCATTTCCAGTTGACAAGGCAGCACTGATCACATTTAAATTGGACATAGAAAAGAGAATGAACTGAATTGTTGCCAATGCTTGACCAAGTATTTGTATTAAGGATTGACATTTAACACAAAGGAATTACCAAAATTGTTAGATCGACCTGAGCATTTTCTATGGAATCTGACAATGTTATTATACACCAAGATGAGAGTTCTATATGGGCATGATATTGTAGAAACAAAAAAGTTCTTAAATTCTAGAAAAATATGTCCTGGAAAAAGAGCAGATAAAATTTTTTAGGATGGAAAGAATATGATTTATGAATCTGACCTTTGGTATTAACAAATTGATCAATCTCAAGCATTCTAAAAATTAAGATCCAACCATCATGAGAAAACATATCCATTCAAAACTATAGCACAATGGAGACTTGATTAATTAGGTGCATTTAAAGTCAAGTGTTTAAGCATTCGAAGTTCAATCTCAAAGCTTTCTGGAAATGAAAAAACAAACTCAACAGCATATCTTCATTCCAAAACATGGCATAACTGAAACATCATGATACTACCAAATCCAGAAGTTTTTATGGATAGAATAAGTGACGCATAGCCTATAGCATAATATTCAACAAAAAGATACGATTGCCAGAACCTTTTTTATCAGGATCTTCACATTTGTTGGATGACTCATTATAGCAGTTCCTTTGTAAGCATTATTCAGTTAATCTTGATTTGAATTTTCAAGACACCGAGAATCGCACAATACTAGGTGTTGTGACTCTTCCTTGGTCCGTGATAGAATAACATTGAGGCCAGCAAAATAAATTCTCCCAATCCACAAAGACCAATACAAAGTCAGGAACTGGTGAATGAACACATATGCCCAACTGGAATTGTATATTACCATGCGTATTGATCCTCGGAGAACTTCTAGAGAAATTTGATGTTGAATTTCCGAGTTTTGGTCGCAAAACGAAAGCCTTTTGTTTTATCATTTCTGATTTCATATAAACAAATTATAAGGTAAAATCCCAGATTATTTAGCGCAAAAGAGCATATTAAAAATGCAATAATCAAGCCCCAAAAAGAATTATTGAATAAACAAGTTTCAAAAATTAATGACTAGAGTAAAGCTCGGAGATTAACGGTTTGTAAATAGTTTGGTACACTTCTAGCTTCTTTATCTTCCAATTTCCCAAAATATAAATAACAAACGAGATTGAGAGATTTAAATCAATACCAAAACCTATATTTTAGTCTCAAAACTTGAATCAAACTAACATAATCCCTCAAATATAGATAAAAGAGATACTTACAGTTAGAAAGCCTATAAATAGAGAAGAGAGTAACTAGAGAGGAAATCTTAAGAGGAAGAATTTGAATCATCCATACACTCTCCCCTCACAAAACACAGTAAAAATTCATCCCTCTTTGAGAATATTTTACAAAACAAACAAGGGTTGTTTTTGCCAGGCATCTTTTCAATTTAATTCACAATTTCCGCAACTACGATGACCCAAATCTTGAACACAAAAACAAACTACCGTAGAAGAAAAAGGGAGAAAAGAGAACTAACACTCCAAGTTTGGAATCGCGGCCAAATGAAACCAATCACAGCAGCCAGATCGAAAAGGCAACAACACCACCACTAAAATAAAACCAGAAAGAGTAAACGGGTATCACCATCAGAGAGAGAGAGAGAGAGAGAGAGCAAGCTGAAACAGATTGTGGGAATTTCTTCTTTTATCAAGTTTTACTTGCTTTCGGGTTTGGGATTGGGAAAGAGAGTGCGACCTTTCGTCTTCACGAAAAAGTATATTTTATTTATACTGTTTTTTCTTATTAAAATAGTGCATTTTTTTTATTATTATTTTTTCTAGATTTTCTTTTAATTTGAATACGAGCAATCCAACAGTGAATATAATTTTTTTTGTTTTTAACCAAGATCTAATATATCAAAATCCAACGGCAAACATAGCTTCCAATAACCGTAAATTTGATCCAATCGGTAAAAACAATTCCTTTATTATATATATTAATATAGTAAAAGAAACATAAAATACAAGTAGTGGATCTAGTGGTCAGTACAAAATCAAATTAACTAACAAATAACTAATTATCATAACTTACTAATTACTAAAACAACAACAGCAACTTAAAATAACAATTTTCAAGTCTAGAATTAGATTTTCAATATAGCAGCATGACAATGTAACCACTATCACCTTGTCTCTATAGAGACACTAACTACTTATAATCTCAATTTGCTCCAGATCATGCTCCATTAGGTTACCTCATACTTCAAGTCCTTCAATCTCTTCAATTGGAGCAAGAGCTGGTTCTAGGTTTTCTTGGTTTTGGTTGACCCAATTGATGAAAATGGTAGGAAGCGATCGTAGAGTGTGAAGAAGGCAATTGAAGAAAAGTTTAATCAAACTCCATAATAATGCATAACATGGAGATATAATAATGAGAAACAAATAGGCTACTAAGAAATGAGAGGGTGATAAAATGAATGATGCAAGGGTTGACAAAGCTAGAAGAAGAGAAAATTTTCCAGGACGCAAGAAGATGGGACGGTTCATACTAAGAGGAAGTGTGATGGGTATGAAGAGGAAAGCTAACAATAAGAGAAGAACAAGAATTAGTGACAGGATAAATAGAAATGGGTACTGAAGAATGTTTTCAGCTTGGGGCTTCTTTAATAGAAAGAAAATAAAAATATTTAGCAGCGGTAAGGGAAAAAACCTTAAATCAATGGAGAATTGCATGCTTTCTATTGCTGATGATGTTTGGATAGAGATGAGGAGCTGATCTTGGACGTTTTTGGTTTGAAGAATTGAATGCTTTTGTTTGGTGTTGAGGTTTTTTGTGAAATTGATTCAATGAGTGGAAGGGCTTTTATACTGGTTAGACTTGAGAGTCAGTTGGCCTTGGCGAATGGAACTTGTGGCGAAGAGTACAAATATTGAAGAAAAATGCAAGCATATGATCCTCCTTCATTCGTTGACGACTAAATGGCAGATATGCCCTTGATGACTGGGGGGTTCTGAAAACAGAGTAATGGTTCTTGTGTAAATATGACGGAAGTGTATGGATAAAAAAGTACTTTCTTGAGTTACTCGGTGACTTGCCACAATAAGTTTGACCCACTTAAATGCCCAATTATTTTAATAAGATTCCCGAAGTCATCAAGGGCATATCTGCCATAAATTTATCTACATAAAGTTTTGTTTGCATGACTTCCTTATCCATACACTTCCGTCATATTTACACAAGAACCATCAACTCTGTTTTCATAATTCCCAAGTCATCAAGGGCATATCTGCCATAAATTTATTTACATAAAGTTTTGTCACATGACTTTCTTATCCGTACACTTCCGTCATATTTACACAAGAACCACCAACTCCCCAAGTCATCAAGGGCATATCTGCCATAAATTTATCTACATAAAGTCTTGTTTGCATGACTTTCTTATCCATACACTTTCGTCATATTTGCACAAGAACCATTTTTTCATAATTCCCAAGTCATCAAGGGCATATCTGCCATAAACTTATTTACATAAAGTTCTGTTCCATGACTTTCTTATCCATACACTCCCGTCATATTTACACAAGAACCATCAACTCTGTTTTCATTATCCCCAAGTCATCAAGGGCATATCTGCCATAAATTTATTTACATAAAGCTTTGTTGCATGACTTTCTTATCCATACAGTTTCGTCATATTTACACAAGAACCATTTTTTCATAATCCCCAAGTCATCAAGGGCATATCTGCCATAAACTTATTTACATAAAGTTCTGTTCCATGACTTTTTTATCCATACACTCCCATCATATTTCACAAGAACCATGAACTCTGTTTTCATAATCCCAAGCATCAAGGGCATATCTGCCATTTAGTCATCAAGGAGGGGCATATCAACTCAGTTTTCGTAAGTAGTTTTTCTTCTTTTTATCTCTATGTGGCCTGTCTGCCTTTGCCACGGTTTCCATTAGCGCAGGCCAGCTTCTTCTCAATTCTCAATATAAAACCTCCTTCACTCATTGAATCAATTTCATAAAAAAACCTCAACCCGAAGCAAAAGCATCAAATTCTTCAAACTAGAAACGTTCAAGATCAGTTCCATACTTGCTTTCTTCCTCATATCTATCCAAATATCATCAGCAATAGAAAATATTAATATCTAATTTTGATACCAACAACCTCGCACGTGCAAAATATTATGAAATTACATATGAAATGATTATGAGAGTTGATTATAGTACAGTGGTGATATATGCTTAAAGAAATATAAATAAAAAACTTACAAGAGATATTTTTATAGTGGTTCAAATGCTATAAGCAAATCCTACATCCATTGTTATTTTATTATTCTCTAATTATTTTTTTGATATCGTCTGTAAGGCGTATAAAGATGGAGTAATGCTTTGTTTACAGAGAAAAATAATGGTTGAAACTCGAATGTATGTCCAGCTCTCATATGCCTAACATTTTCTTCCATAAAGAGAGCTGTCAATTTATACCTTTGAGTTCAATGTAATTAGTGTTTTTGCAAGTTGTCTTGACACGTGTAGATCCCTCCTTAATCTTGATCTTAAAATGGGATAGAATTGATATAAATGCTCTTAATAACAGCTTAGGTCGGTTTGGTTTTGACAGCTAATGTTATTTGGTCTTTTCGCTCTTGTTGAATTCTGATTGGAAGAGAAGTCTGTTGAGTTTTGATTGGTGGTGTCGAGATCAATGTATATTTTTGGAATAATAGAATCCCCTCAGTTCTCCATTGATTTGAGGTTTTTTTCCTAGTGCTGGCATTTTATTTCTGTTAATGAAACCCCAAGCTGAAAACATTCTTCAATACTCATTTATATTTATCCTGTTATTGATTCTTTCTTTTCTTTTACTAGTAGCTTTCGTCTTCACACCCATCATACTCCCTTTTAGTATGAACCGTCCCATCTTCTTGCGTCCTGCAAAATTTTCTCTTCTCCTAGCTCTATCAACCCTAGCGTCATTTGTTTTACCACCCTCACATTTCTTAGTAGCCTATTTGTTTCTCACTGTCATATCTCCATGCTATGCACTGCTATGGAGTCTAATTGAACACTTTCTCAACTGCCATCTTCACACTCTACCATTACTTCCTACCATCTTCATCACTTGGGTCGACCAAAACCAAGAAAACCTAGAACCAGTTCTTCCTACAATTGAAGAGATTGAAGGACTTGAAGTAGGATGTAACCTAATCAAGAATGCTCTAGAGAAAATTGAGATTCATAGATAGGTAGTTAGTGTTTCTGTAGAGACATGGTTATGGTTAATTTCTCATGTGGCTGCATAAAGAATCGAATTCGTGACTTTACAATTAGTACAGGTGATACAAAGGTTGGAACTGGTAGTTATTTAGAGTTACTGTTTTTGTTGTAGTAATTCAGTAAGTTATGAAAGTTGGTTATTTGTCAGTTAATTTGACTTTACAGTTATGTATTTTCTATTTCTTTTACTTCATTAATGTATTCAATTAAGGAATTGTTTTTACATGTTTATCAACCAACTCCATTGGATCAATTTATGGTTATCGATAGCTATCTTTGCCGTTATGGATTTTTATATATTATATCTTGGTATAAAAAAAAAAAAAAATTCTATATTTGCGGTTCGATTGCACTTATCCAACGAACATGGATAAATTTTTTTATATAAATTATATGTCATATAAAATTAATGCATGTCGATAAATTTCGAAGAATTTGAAAAGAAACATATAAAATTAATGTATGACGATAAATTTTTCCAATTAAAAGAACAGGCACTTCTGAATTTTAGTGGTGGTAATGACGTTAGCACGCATTCATTTTTACCCCAGTCATTGTCAATGGACAGAGTACAATTAACATGACTTTCTTATCCATACAGTTCCATCATATTTACACAAGAACCATTCATAATTCCCAAGTCATCAAGGGCATATCTGCCATTTAGTTATAAGGAAGGGCTTATCAAATTATCAACTCTGTTTTCATAAGTACTTTTTTCTTCTTTTTTTCTCTTTCGGGCCCGTTGGCCTTCGACCTTCGCCACGGTTTCCATTAGCCCAGACCAACTTCCTCTTAATTCTCAATATAAAATCCACATGCAAATCTATTTCATAAAAACCTCAAAACCCCAAACAAAAGCATCAAATTCTTCAAACCAAAATTGTCCAAGATCAGTTCCATACTTGCTGTCTTCCTTATCTCTATCCAAATATCATCAGCAATAGAAAGCATGTAATTCTCTATTGATTTCTTTACTGCTAAATATTTTCATTTTCTTTCTATTAACGAAACCCCAAACTGAAAACATTCTTTAATACCTATTTCTATTTATCCTGTCATTGATTCTTGCTCTTCTTTTATTAGTAGCTTTCATTTTCACACTCATCACACTTCCTTTTAGTACGAGTCATCCCATCTTCTTGCGTCTTGAAAATTATTCAAAAAATAATATTATATTAGTATTTAGAAAAAGGGTAATTTAATAATCTTTATAATATATCTACCTATCTATTCTTCCAACCTAACATATCAATATAACATACCTACCCATTTATTTCAACCTAACCAAGCACATTTCCCTAAATATTCTCAATAATCTTCAAGTTAATCTGTCTTTCTATTAATATAACATCCCCGATGGTGACCATTAACGACTTAGGCCTAATTCCTCAACATTGTAAATTTGTTTATATAGCTGGGCCTCGTTCAAAGTCAAAGAGCATATACTCCTTCCATCTTAAAATTTTTCTTTTTTAACATAGTACTTT